GAGACACTCCATGGATGGTGGAGGAGACATTCCATGGATGGTGGAAGAGACACTCCATGGATGGTGGAGGAGATATTCCATTGATGGTGGATAAGACATCTTATATATATATATATATATATAAGTGGGACTAGAACTCACTGGCTCCTGGTGATTGGCCCAAGATCATTCAGTTGGCTTTCATGCCTAAGGTGGGACTAGAACTCACCGTCTCCTGTTGATTGGCCCCAAGTCACCCAGTTGGCTTCCATGGCTAAGGTGGAACTAGAACTCACTGGCCCCTGGTGATTAGCCCAAGATCACCCAGTTGGCTTCCATGGCTAAGTGGGACTAGAACTCACTGGCTTCTGGTGATTGGCCCTAAGTCACCCAGTTGGATACAATAGGACTAGAACTCACTGTCTCCGGGGTTTCTACTCTAGTCTAATCTTAACCAATAAACCAAACTGCCTCAAAATGTGGAGACTGTCTCCTCCCCAAATCCTGAACGTTTTCTCAACTCTGCAGCTGAGATGCAGCAATGGATTCGGAACACAGGACCTTAATTTAAACAACAACATTATTATTATTATTATTATTATTATTATTATTATTATTATTATTATTATTATTATTATTAATTTCTATTAAGATAGGAATAATTTAGTTGATTAAATTAAGAATGCCAGTAGACTCCTCCTATTTTTGGCTACCATAGACTAACGAGATTCTCCCTCTCCTGCAGGGTCCACAAAAATTTAACATAAATCAAACCAGAAAGAAGAGAAAGAAAATCTCAGATATTTTACCTGTCCCCGTCCCGGTTGGGTCTCCACCTTGAATCTAGACATTCAAAAGATAAAGACAATGTTAAGGTGGGATGGGATTAATTGTTGAGATCATTCAAGGTGTTACTTTTTATCAGCTGGTAAGGGAACTCTGGCGCTCCAGGAAATGTTTCTCTTCATGTAAAGTGTTAAGTTTTACATTCCCTGCAGTTGTTGATCCAGAAGGGATGGTGACAACTGCACCAGGAAAGCCGTTAATCAAGACCCACAACTCTCTCTCTCCATCCTCTCTTCTCTCTCTCCTCCTTCTCTCTCCTCTTCTCTCTTTTTTCCTCTCTCTCTCCTCTCTCTTCTCTCTCATATGCCTCTCTCCTCTATTTTCTATCTCTCCTCATCCTCATCTCTCTTCTCTTCTTTCATTTTCTCTCTCATCCTCTTGCCTCTTCTCTCCTCCTCCTCTTTCATCTCTCTCTCTCCTCATCCTCTCTTCTCTCTCTATCTGTCCCCCCCCCCCCCATTTCTCTAATTTGCAGACCTAAGAGTGCAGAGAAGAGCAACCAAGATGATCAAACGTCTGGAAGATGAAACATACAATGAACAGTTGCAGGAACTGGGCCTGGCTAGTCTAGTGAAGAGAAGGGCCAGGGGAGGCAGGATATCAGCCTTCCAATATTTGAGGGGCTGCCACAGGGAGGAGGAAGGGGGCCAAGCTGTTTTCCAAAGCACCTGAAGGCCAGACAAGGAAGAATGGATGGAAACTGATCAAGGAGAGATTCAACCTGGAAATAAGGAGGAATTTTCTGGCAATTTCTGTTCCATCGGTTGGAATTTCCCCAACCGATGGAACAGAAATTGTGGGAACTTCATCACTAGAGTCTGGATTGCCGTCTGTCAAAAAAGGTGTAGGGTTTCCTGCTTGGGCAGGGGGTTGGACTAGATGACCTACAAGGTCTCTTCCAACTCTGTTAATTTGAATCTACCTTTGGCCTCCTGGTTCGATACTCACCACAAAATTGCGAATCGATCGGTGAAATATGGTCCCGTCGTAGTATTTCTTCTTGCAGAGTTTAATGAAGTTTTCGCAGGTTTTAGGAGTCTGGGAAAGACAGAAAAAAAAACCCACTGCTTAGAATGGAATTGAGTCTGTTTTTACCCAGGAAAGTCGTTCAGGGTGTGAACAAAACACTTGTTCTCTGTCTGTCTTTTGTTATCATATCAGATAGGTTCTTGTCATTTTTTTTTCATTGCTTATTTTATTGCTTTGATCTTCCATACTTTTGTTCACACTTAGAATGATAACTTCATTGTCACTTTGAATATACACTGATCAGCATACATTAAAATGAAATTTTGTGATGTACAGATCTCAAAGGGTCACCCCCTCCCCCCAAAAAGCTACATAAACATTGCAAAATAATTACTAAATTAGGTATATACCCACATATATTTATATGATACAGGGAAACAATTCAGTCTAGTTTGGTTCATTTCTTCATTTTTATTGTCTTAAGCCTCCTAGCGAAGCCCCAGGGCCAGATACAGGCAGTCTTTAACATAAGTTCATTTAGTGACCAAAGTTACAACGGCGCTTTAAAAAAATGGGACTTAGCACAGTTTTTCACATTTACGACGGTTGAAGCCACCCCATGCTCACATGATCAAACATTCACATCTTTGACAACTGCTTCATATGTCAGCGCTCCCGAAAACCTCCACTCCAACCAATAACTCCGAGACAGACAGCCTCTCCAAGGTTCCTTTTATTAAGAGTAGTAAACTGGCACATCCGGAAAATCCCAAATCTGAAATTTCTGGGTTTCCTTGCAATAAGTAAAAATTTACAAATCCACCCTCTGCACCCACATGCCCCAATCACCTTCTATCCTAACTTGAGATGTCCTCTCACCCAGGTGCAGAGATAACATGACCTTGACTTAGAAAAAGAATGCTATTAAGTCTAACTACATATACACTCCAAGAATTTTCCCCCTTCCATTTTGCCAGGCTCAGGAATGTGGAAGCGTCTGGTGCTAATATGGCCTCCAAAGCTGACATCATACTTATGATGGTTGCAGCATCCTGGGCTCCGAATTTACAACCTTCTGACAAGCGAAGTCCATGGGGAAATCTAGGTTCTTTTAACAAGCGCATTACCTAACTTAACAAATACAACGATTCACAGCAACGGTGGGAAGGTCATAAAATGGGTCAAAACTCATTTAACAAACGTTTCACTTGGCAACATAAATTTTGGGCTCAGCGGCATCCGTAACTCGAGGATTACTGTAATAAAATTTAACCAATAAATCATAAATAAATCACAGCTATGGCTGAGATTATAGGTAAAACTATTGACATACAATAGTTTTAGTGCTTGTTCAAAGGTGCGATGTTCTGAAAAAAAGTGACATGACCAGTTTTCACAACCAAATGTTGGATACTTGGCACCTGACTCATTATTTATGACGGTGTAGGTGTTGTTCTAACTTTCAACGGTCACTAAATGGATGTACATAAGTGCAGAACTATCTGCAAAAATGAATTTTCCTTGAAGGAAATTTTAAGCCCTGTTTGTGCGCTCAGCAAAGCAATAATGAATTTAAGCAACCGTGGAAAAAGAGATAAGAGGCGTCCTTCACAAACACCCTGTGGGCTGCAAATTATTTTCCACTGATTTTATTTATATTTATACACACGCGGTCTTTCTCTCTCTTTCCACACGCATGGAGAGAGAGAACTGGTTCCCATGGCCACTGCGTGTGCATCATACGAGGCGCATAACGTTCTGGCAAGCAAGCCAGGGTTGCCTTAGCAACATTCCTGAAAGGAAGGATAAGGGGTTGGAAAAAAACAAACAGCTGAAAACTCCCTTGGAGAGAGGAGCCCGTTCCTTTCTTCTATTTTTCCTGCCACTTCGCCACTTTTAACAAGTCCAGAATTTGGAATTTTTGGCTTTGAGCTCCCAGGAAGGGGGAAAAAAAACCCCCACAACCACCAAAATCTGATTTGGCTCACGGCTTCGACCCATTTTGCTATTGGTCAAAAGCAAAAGGACGTTGGATAGGGAGACAAAAGACGTTCGAAAAGAACAAAGCCTCAACTTCACCAAGGGAGGTTGTGGTTTTCCAAGATTAGGTGACCGGGGAAAGACAGGAGAAATGAAAGAAAGAAGATATTCTGATTAAAAAGAAAAAAGAAAAGAAAAAAAAAAACAACGAATAGGGAACATGGCAAAGAGGAATTAAAACCAGTTTTAGCTCTGAGATCCAGAAGCTCTTTTGGCCAGATCTGCAAGTAACCGAGAAGTCTTTGAAGATCAAATAACAGATTAGCAGAGTTGGAAGGGACCTTGGAGGTCTTCCAAACCAACCCCCAGCTCAAGCAGGAGACCCTATACCCACGATAGCGAACCTGTGGCACGCAGAGCCATTTGTGCTGGCACATGAGCCGCAGGCAAACTTACCTCGCTGCACATGCCTGCGCCTCACAGCTGATTTTTCTGCTGGTTTCAGGCCTTTTTTTGGCCTCCCAGAGGCTTGGAAAAAGCCTCCGCAAGGCTTTTCAGGACGAATACGCCCGTTTCGTCACTTCCTGTATTACCGGAAGGAACGAAACGGGCATATTATTCACCCTGAAAAGCCTTGCAGAGGCTTTTTCCAAGCCTCTGAGATGCTGAAAAAGGCCTCAAACCAGCCGAAAAATCAGCTGTGAGGCGCAGTGCAGATAAGGGGGTGACGGGGATTGCACGTGGATGCGCAGGGGGCGCATTGCATTCTGGGTGCCAGCAGCCCCAAAAGGTTAGCCACCACTGCCCTATACCGTTTCAGACAAATTTCAGAGGCGTAAAGTTCTTTGCAGGTAGAATAACACCACCGCAGGACATGATCTGGGTTAGAAACCCGGTATATTCTTTTCTTTTTGCCATCAAGAAATGCAATGGCTCTACCTAACTGCCCAACTTGTATTATCCTTTTTTTTTAAAAAAAAACTTGTCTTCTGATAGATCTAAAATGCTTGTTTTCTGTTCTAGGGAAAAACGCGCTTGGAAAAATGGAGATTCTCGGGTCATGGTTGTCCCAAAGGTGTTTTTTTCAGGAGGTAACTGGGCTTTGTTTTTCCTCGCTCCTCATCCAAGAAGCTTCTTCCGTTCTGACTGAAGAATCCTGAATTCCCCACCATTCAGTTAGAACAGAAGAAGCTTCTTGGATGAGGAGCGAAACCTCTTCGAGAAAAAAAAAAAGTCCACAAGGAAAAGAAACAAAGAAAGTTCACAGTTGCACCTTTGGGACCTTTGGAAAAACAAGCTCCATACGCAGCAAGGAAGACACCAGGGAGCTGGACAAAATCCTCAACGCGCATGGATCCCCACTAGAGATTTACACCCCTTAGCAGCGCTAGCCCTTTCCAGCCCACATGTCTTAACACACATCGCCGGGTGACGTTGTCTTCTTCCTTCTACCCGTGAGTCATAGCTCTTCCCAGCTACCTTCTGTGGTCCAAAATGGTCTCCTTCCGTGATTCCTAACCTCCTGGCTCCTGAAATCTTCGCAAGTACATTCAACCAGGGTTTTCGACGGAGGCCACAAAAACATGACATGGCTTCAACACCTCCAATCGAAGAGATGCACATGGCACCGGGCCACTGGAGGAGAGTGTGATTCCAGCAATGTAAGGCTCTCGACGGCCATCTGTCAGGGGTGCTTTAATTAGGATTGATGCGCGAAGGAGGGAACTGGGACCCATGGCCTCCACAAGACGGATGGATGGAAGGGAGGGAGGAACAGAAAGAAAGGAAGGGAGGGAGGAGATGAAGAGAGAAGAAAGGGAGGGATAAAGGACAAAGGGAAAGAAGTAAACAGAGAAGGGAGGACAAAAGAAAGGGAGAGAGGGAGAATAAGAAGGAAAGAGATAAATGGAGGAAGGGAGGAGATAAAGAGAAGAGGAGAAGAAGGGATAAGAACAAAGGGAAAGAAGTAAAGAGAGAAGGAAGAACAAAAGGAAAGGAGGGAAGGAGGGAGGATAAGAAGGAAAGAACTTCACAGGTGGGAATCCACATTTTGCCAAATCTGGAAAGATTTTACAGATGAGCTGGGCTGGCTCAGTGATTAGAATGCAGTATGGCAGGCTGATTCTGCCGGCTGCCAACAGTTCGATCCTGACTGGCTCCAGGTTGACTCAGCCTTCCATCCTTGTGAGGTGGGTCAAATGAGGACCCAGATTGTTGGGGGCAATATGTTGAGTCTGTAAATCACTTAAGAGAGGGCTGTAAAGCACTATAAAGCAGTATATAAGTCTAAGAGCTATTGCTATTGTTCTTCCTTCCTTCCTTCCTTCCTTCCTTCCTCCCTCCCTCCCATCCATCCACGGTGCACAGTGGTTAAAATACAGTATTGCAAGCTAACTCTGCCCCCTGCCAGCAGTTTGATCCTGACCGGCTCAAGGTTGACTCAGCCTTCCCTCCTTCCGAGGTCGATAAAATGAGGACCAAGATTATTGGGAGCAAAAGGCTGGCTCTGTCAAACTGCTTAAGAGAGGGCTGCAAAGCTCCGCAAAGCGGTATATAAACCTATCGGCTATTGCTATTCCTAGGACCATCCACCTTGACGCATCTGAAGGACCTTCTTCTACACCTGAAGACTTGGCAACCAACGGTAACGAGCCGACAAACTCCTTACCATGTCACAGTGAAGCTCCAGGTTGAGGTCCCCTTGGTTGGTGTGCAACCGGACGTAACCCTTCTTCTTGACATACCGGTACCGAACCACGTCATCATCAATGGCAGCTGTTCAGAGAGGTCACGGGGTTTCAAGTTATGCGTTGTTGTTTAGATACATTTCGTATTTCTAAACCGTCCGCCTCCCTCCCTCTCTTTAAGGCTGGTTTAATGTGTACGACTCCCTCTGCGACGAACCAACAGCCTTGCCACTTAAGCATCGGTATATCTGATGAAAAGGAGGACCCTGGGTGATACAAGAGCAGTCTCCCAATATCTCAGGGGCTGCCCCAAAGAAGAGGGAAGTCAAGCTATTCTCCAAAGCTCCTGAGGGCAGGACAAGAAGCAACGGGTGGAAACTAACCAAGGAGAGAAGCAACCTAGAACTAAGGAGAAATTTCCTAACAGTGAGAACAATTAGCCAGGGGAACAACTTTCCCCCAGAAGCTATAAATGTTCCAACATTGGAAGTTTTTAAGAAGAGAGTGGATAACCATGGGGTTGGACTAGAAGACCTCCAAGGTCCCTTCCAGCTTCTATTCTATTCTATTCTATTCTATTCTATTCTATTCTATTCTATTCTATTCTATTCTATTCTATTCTATTCTGTGATGTAGATGTATTGTATTGTATTGTATTGTATTGTATTGTATTGTATTGTATTGTATTGTATTGTATTGTACTGTATTGTACTGTACTGTACTGTATTCTATTCTAAAGAGAGGAGAGATTTGGAAAATACGATGAAGAAAAACTGCGTCCCTTTTCATTTTTTAGGCTCTTGAAAGCTGAATCAATTCAGTTCTATATGTTACCGATCAACACACAGTCCTCAAAGAGTGGAAATAACAGTAAATAAGAACGAAGTAAATATATAATAAATGTATATATTTATATATATATATATATATAAACAGAGCACCAGAAGGCAGAACAAGAACAATGGAGGGAAACTAACCAAGGAAAGACGCAACCTAGAACTCAGGAGACACTTCCTGAGAGTTGGAACAATTCACCCGTGGAAAGGTTTGCCTTCGGAAGTCTATTTTACCTGCTTCGTGGGTCGTCTCAGGTGCCATGGCAGTGGATGTGAACGAAGCGCTGACTCTCCCAGTGGAATAGTGAGCCTGTTAAAACAGCAACCGATGAGGACCTCAGGGTGAGAATATTTGCAGTACAAGGTAGTCCTTGACTTACAACAGCTCATTTAGTGACCAAAGTTACATCATCGCTGTAAAAAAAAAAAGCGACTTAGGACCGTTTTTCACTCTCAGGATTGGTGACGTGATTTACCTTCGGACGCGTGACAACTGACTTGTAGTTACGACGGTTGCAGTGCCCCCCCCGGGGTCGATTTGGTGACCCTTTGATGAGCAAAGTCAACGGGGGAGACAGATTCACTTAACAACCGCGGTACCAACTTTAACAGCGGCAGGGATTCGCTTGAACCAACGTGGCACAAGGAAAGTCGTGAAATGAGGCCAAGATCACTTCCACAAATTTCTCCCTTGGTGACATAGGTTTGGGGCTTCGTTGTGGTCGCACGTGGAGGCCCACTTGCATTGAAAGAGGAAGAGGGGTGCGTGTGTGCATACACCGTGGAGGATGCCAGGAGAGAGAGTTGTCTTTGTGGGAAATTGGCGGCTACGGTGGGCCAGTCTGGACTCCAAACAGGCGATCTGCATTGCTTTGTTTTCCTCTTCCCTCCTCATTGTATTTTCTCTTTTATGCCAGGTCAAGCCATCCATTTCAGTTTATTATAGTCATAGACCAGAGACCAGAACAAATAAAAACGCTCCATAAATATACAATTAAAAACTCTACTATAAACAGGGGTGGGATTCAACCGGCGTTACCGCTACGTTTTGCGCCGGAATTCTGGGAGCTGAAGTCCTCCGTTCTCCAGTCCCTTTCGGAAATGTCCCTGGACCAATCAACTCACCGCATTCAGCCTGTCCGTTTTCTTCTTCTCTGGCTCCTTCATGGTAGCCGCCAGAATGTCGTCCCCTTTGAATTCTTTGTACAACTCCAACAGCGTCTCTCTGGTCTCGATGTTGGCATTTTTCAGGTAATAGGAGGGGTCGGACCTGGCTTTTTCGTCATCTGCAAAAGATTGTTGACAGGTCAGGAATGGCCTTGCTCACCTGGGAAAACTGGCGAGGGTCAGAGCTAGAGGTGTTAACAGGGCGGCGGCGAAATATTGGAGGCCGCTTGAAGCTAATCAGCATCTAAAGCTGTCTTACTTAAATGTGGCAGCTTGAAGAGGCTTTAACTCTCAGAATTCCTCAGCCAGAATTCTTTTAAGATGGGTGGAATTCAACTCCCAGAATTCCTCAGCCAGCATGCTTTCACACTTATGACTGTTGTGGATCAAAATTTGGAAACTCGGCAACTTGACTCACATTTATGACGGTTGCAGTGTCCTTGGGGTGGGGGTGTGTGTCATGTGACCCCCTATTTGTGACCTCCTGACAATGGTGGAAGCCAGATTCACTTAACAACCGTGTTACTCACTGAACAACAGCTGAACCAGTGTGGCAAGAAAGGTCGCAAAATGGAACAAAGCTCACTTCATAAATGTCTCGCTTAGCCACCAAAGTTTGGGGCCTTCGTGGTTGTTGTAAGTCGAGGACTACCTGCAGTTTTCCACCATCCTCCTTACCCGGGTCAGTGACTTTCAAATTGTTCTTCACGTGAAAAAAGCTGGACACGTTAAATTTGTCCACGTTGGTGGGATCCTAAAATGAAATAAATTGAAAAGAGAAGAATGGGAGTTTTGGAACACAATGCTGAGCGGTGCTGCGCATCCGACTCCGTTCAGAAAGCTCAAACTGCCCAAGGAGTTGCTGATCCAGTTCTACAGAGGAATTACTGTCATCTGCACCTCTGTAACTGTCTGGTTTGGTTTTGCAACCCAACAGGACAAACACAGACTGCAGAGAGTAATTAGGACTGCAGAAAAAACAATGGCTAACAACCTGCCTTCCATGGACGACCTGTATGTTTCACAAGTCAAACGCGGGCTGTGAAAATATTAACGGACCCCTCACATCCCGGACATTAATTGTTTCAACTCCAACCCTCAAAACAATTCTACAGAGCACTGCACACCAGAACAACTAGACACAAGAACAGTGTCAGCTTTGGAAGCCGTATTAGCAGTTTCTTCCCGAACGCCATCACTCTGCTAAACAAATACTTCCCTCAACACTGTTCAACTATTTATTTAAGTCTGCATTACTATCACTATTACTATTAATCCTCCCATCCTTCCTTTCACCCACCCGCTCCCACTTGTGACTTATGACTGTAACCTTGTTGCTTGTATCCTTATGATTTATATTGATTGTTTCCTAGTAAGTTTTGATTGTTTATTGCACCCAATGACTATTATTAAGCATTGTACCTGACGATTCTTGACTCTTGATGAACGTATCTTTTTTTTTTTAACGTACACTGAGAACATTTGCAGCAAGACAAATTCTTTGTGCGTCCAATCACACTTAGCCAATAACGAATTATATTCTATTCGCAATTTTTCTTTTATTTTTTTTTTGGGGGGGGGGGCAACCATCAGGACAGATGGGATTAAAAAAAAAGCTTTGTTTCGTTCCGGCAATATCTCTTTTTGAGAGTGATGAAATGTGACGTGGACGGATTCCAGAGCAGTTTTTTTTTTTTTTCCCCCTCTGCCACTGCCAAATACATAAATAAAAATCCGGCACAGCGGGCAAGGATGAACGCCCCTTGGCCCGAATCCAAACCCAGAACTGAGAGAACGGTCGAAGGAAGAGGAAGGAGGAGGAGGAGAAGAAGAAGAAGAAGAAGAAGATGTCACAGTTGGAATGCAAATAGCAGAAGGGGGTGGTGGTGGTGGAGATGAATGTGGCATTGTGTCTTGCGATAAGAAAGCCTCTTCCAATAATATTCCACTGGCTCACTCGAGAGGGAGCGGATTGCCCCGTCTCTCATTAAGTGACATAATTGTGCCTTTCACTCAGCCCTGAAATTGTTTGCTCTCTCTGGTAAATAAATCTTTAGTTTTATGGCCCAGCAGTAAAAGTGAACTGACGTTCAGTAAGTCAGGAGGGGAGGAGATGGGGGGGGGGAGAGAAAGAGAGTGAGAAAGAGGGGGATGGAAGGAGAGAGACAAAAGAGAAGAGAGAGAGGAGAAAGGAGAGAGGGAGAGAGAAGGGGGG